TATACAGGTCCCTCATACGGTTCTTAATTTGCAATATACAGTACATGGCCTCCGCATGCATTATTAATGGCAGATTACATGAACTGAACAGTTTCCAAATATATTCTAAATACAGTATTTTTCCCGTATAGTTTATATTAGTGTCATATACATTGCAAACCTAGCACCATATATGGGGGTCTGAATATGAACCATATATAGTTCCATATTTATTAAGAATGGCCAAAACATGATATTTATATTTATTGAACAAACTGCTAGATGTCAGGCCATATGGAAGGCCTCAACGTGCATGCGTGTGCATCCGTGGATATTACATGAACTGAACAGTTTCCAAATATATTCTAAATACAGTATTTTTTCCGTATAGTTTATATTAGTGTCATATACATTGCAAACCTAGCACCATATATGGGGGTCTGAATATGAACCATATATAGTTCCATATTTATTAAGAATGGCCAAAACATGATAAGGACTGAACTGTTTCCAAACATGACTAAATTCAGTACTGTACAATCCCATACATACGCCTGTATTTGGAAGTTCCGTAAGGGACTAGCACCATATATGGGGGTCTGAATATGAACCATATATAGTTCCATATTTATTAAGAATGGCCAAAACATGATAAGGACTGAACTGTTTCCAAACATGGCTAAATTCAGTACTGTACAATCCCATACATACGCCTGTATTTGGAAGTTCCGTAAGGGTAGCCTTGTGGGGTAGTTTTTCCTCGATGACACATGACTTAGTGCCTCTGATAGTCTACACTACGTGATTTTCTGCTCGCAAGATTCGGATTTTTTTTCGAGGATACGAGATTCGACGCCACGCAGCACGCCTGGAAGGGTCCGAATGCCTTCATGTACAGGGTGAGTCAAAAAATGTTCCACACTTTTCGATCTGCTGTCACACTTGTGCTAATTAAGTTAGGTGCTTAGAATGTATGGCAATGTTTAAAATGGCTAAACTAGAATCAAACCCTTTTTGTTTTGTGAAAATAGGTTCAAAAGTTTTTGCACAGTGACTATTTTGCTGCGAGAAGTAAAAAATCGCCGCAGCCTAAACCGGGGAGATTACGTGGCGGCCAGCTTTTTCGAATCTCTAGCGTCCCTGTCATGGTTTTTGTTTCTTGCCACGTTCTGCCTCAATGTGATATATGATGTCTAACGTGCCTGATTGTGTGGTCGCATATCCTTTTCATATGAAAAGGTACAACTGCATCAATGGGCAAGTTAAGTGCGGAAGACAAGGTGATTATCAAAGTCCTGCATCAGGAGAAAGGTATGGTGCCAGAAAGATTGTGAAAGAATATCCAAATCGCAATTGAACGTGAGAACAGTGAGCAAGTTGCTGAAACATTTGCGAAAAAAGTGGTACCATAAGCCGTAAACCAGTCAGTGGAAGACGTGTCCAGTCCGTGGTTCAAAAACCTACAACCTACCTACCTTTTTGCAAGAAATGGCACAACTTCCTACATAAAGTTGGCAAGTTGAAATTTGGCATGAACATAAATCCTACCATGCACGACATACATTTATTGTAGCAGATGCTGGAATTGACATTTTAATTTTAAAAAATCGGTCTTATGAGGTAATCCTGTCCAAGGAGACTAAAAAATCTCTGACTTGGATAATGGAGGAAGGATGATTCACATCATCGCTTCTTGGAAAAAAAAAATCCGGTGCTGAGCGTGTCCAACTCCTGTTGTGGAGATAAATGGAGTTACGATGGTGTACTTTCCATCTTCTAACTCTTTCTCCGCGTTCATCTCCGGCGCAGACGAAGGAACTGTTCATCTGATAGATATATCAGAAAGAGTTCTGCGCCTGAGAAAGGACTCAAACTCGCACGCAAGGATGGGTTTACTCTCATTCCTACCTGAGGAAAGATAGTACTTTCAATTAGAATAATTGGATACGTGATTGGCTATGACCCCTGTCACGGAAGCAGAGTTTTACTTGGAATGAATGCAACCCTTTCATGCTAGGAAATATTCAATTCACGTCCTTGATGAATGTTCAGGGAACGCATAATTTGAACTGTTTATGATTGCTCTAAATTTCGGACATTTAAGCAGTCGATAGAACGTTTCCAAGGACGTTTAGGGAACCTCAAATCAGGGGTGCACAGCATACGGTCCGCGAGGACCTTGCCAGCGGCCCGCCATAGTTGGTGGCGTTGTAAGTGCTACTGTGGCTCCTACCCTGTTGGCCACAACAATGGTCAGCCAGGCAAGCAAAAGGTGGGTCGTCTGGCGGCAGTACGGTCCGCGGTATGTTGGTAATAATTGCAAATGGCCCTCACAGTCTTTTGAGTTGTGCACCCCTGCATTAAATGAGACGTTCATTGAAAATACATTAAACGTTCTGGTGCTACTAGGGTCGGGTTAAGAACCCTGATCACCGATTGGTAGTGCACAAAGAAGTGGGTCAGGAGTCAGCATCTCCTGCACATGACGGCCTCCTATTTCGCAGGCAGTGGATGCCGGCTGGAAAGCATGTTTTCCCACACAATTCTCCCAAATGTTCTACATGGGTAAAGCCATAATGCCGCCAGGTTCTACCGGGTCCAGGGACGGAAGAGAGCTCCTGCGGAGAGTTCCGCAACAAAAAAAATCTCGAATGCTCCTGCATCTCCTGGCAGATCAATGAAATGTGTCTCTGGTTGCCCCTCATTTCGATTAGCTCATACGGAATTTCGGGACCCACATGGATGAAAGGAGTTGTAGAACGATTTAATGGACACAATGGATTACCTAGGGAACAAGTAAGTTTTCTGTGCATTGGCTGCTTTTCATCGCGTTAACATATACGATAAAAATGCGATGAAGAATCTGAAGAATCCGATGCCGAAGAACCGCCATGATACCGACTAGCATGGCTCCTACATATAGTACGCATGTTGTTGGTACATCATGACTGCGCCGTCTCCAGTTCTATGGCATGGTAGCAGAGCTGAAGTACTCGTCGTGATCCGTGGATTGCTTGCCCGCTACCTGTGCTCTGGCACTGTCCTTTAAAGCCGATGAATTATGTCCAAGGACTTACTGTGATGATTAAGCCTAAGCATGCCATTATCAGTGGTTCTGAACCTGGGGGTAATTATCCTCCGAATGCATGAAGGTTCAATTGGAGTAAAAGAAAGGTTGAGAACCACTGCATTATACGCTTTCGCTTTGCCAAACTTTGAGGTTTCTTTAGCCTTGATGCAAAGAGCCAATTGCAGAGTATTTCCTGATCTAATGATCTTCTGGAGGGCCTGAGCTCTCAATGTCTTCTCTATGCTGATGACTCTACTCATCAAGGCCATTAGAAACACTCCGGATGAGGTCCCTTTCCAGTCTGACCTTAGCAAACTGGAGGCCTGGTGTAGCACCAATCTTGTTTCCCTGAATATATCAAAAACTCATATCATACTGCAGGAATTTGGCCATAGACTCCATGCCCCAGTACTCTATTGCTGATGAAAAACTCACCATATCCAACTCCCATAAGCAACTTGGAATCCTCTTGACCAATAATCTCCTGGAATGACCACACATACCTAATTAGTTTTAAATTGCCTAAGATCCTTGGAGCGATCTTCCTTACCTTCTGAGATTGTGATACGCCCACTCTCTACAAGTTATATATCTGATTGGTTTGTCCCCACCTTGACTTTGGTGCCCCTGCTTGGATGCCCTATACATCAAAACTCATAGTTAAACTTGCATGCATACAGTGCATAGCTACTCACTGCATTTTGAAAGTTAACGAACAACTCACCTCCATACCCTACACACCCAAGGATCTTAAACTTAATGTCTATAGAGAATCGTTGGAAGTTTTCAGCCATTTCCTTCAGCCTGAAGAATCTGTACTCATGTAATAACTTCAATCCCCTAAAAATTGGCTGCCTCTCAATGCTTGTAGACAGTCCACCCTAGCTTTCAACGTAAAAAGATTTAGCACCAATACTCTTTATTTCATTTTTTTTACCCAAACTATGGAGTAACCTCCCCCTCATCTATTTGTGATATGGCTGTAATAAATCTACCCTCCTACCTCCAACTTCTTAATCAACATTTCAATGAACTGTCCTGACATGTATAACTCTATGACTCTTTGCTTTTTTCTCTGACTATTATTATCCCTTCCCTCCCTTGACTCTGCCTTGACTTGTATTTGCTTTAAAATTTTTTCTGCATTCCATCCTAGTTGCTCTTTTATTCTCTATGCATCTGTACCCTTGTTATATTTCCTGTCTCTTCTCTCTCCCCTCTCTTCTCCTTGCCAGGGCTCTCATGGGCTGTGCTCTCCCATTAATTGGGAAATAAAGAAATAAAGTTAAGCTTGCTTCCCATTGGCATTTCAAGCTGAATCTAGAACAGTTGACTTATATGCTCAGGTTTTTATGCAATCAGTTAGATGGCCATCCTGACTTGCCCTAGCATGAGTGTGGTGTCAGATTTTGACTCTGGTAATGAAGTGTACAGCAATTTGCACAATAACTGATGCCAATACATACTGAATAAGCAAATGCACTTAAAAAAAATACCATGGGATCTTGATTTGTTGGGTGCAATGCTAGCAAAAAGGGGGGGGGGGGGTCTGTGTAAAATACACAAGTAAAAAATGAGGAATAAAAAAATTTCAGCCATAGTGAGACTGGAGCTGATATGCACCAAATGCATTTAACTTTAAACTGATCTAATTCCATAATGGTTGTCAAGGGGAATAAGATTATCTCCATCAAACTAATTTCCATATGGGACTATAATGAAATATTATCAATTTAACTGATCTTGTGCATGTCACTCAAGAATCCTACATCACACAGGACCTCTTGCATCCTCTGAAACCCTCTGTGGACCATTGTTTGGTAATAATGCAGAATAGTCATGATCCTACATAGCCCTTGCTCATTCCCTGTCCTCAGGGAAGGTCTATGAATTAGACCTGAATTCAATTAAGGTTCATAGTCATGATTCTCTCTTTAGCCCTGAAGGAGTTATTTTCCCTTCTGTATGCTTAGATTGAGACTTAGCAAAAATGAATGAGAAATATGGCATGAGAAAATATGATTTTGTCATTGAGGAAGTGCCCAGAGTTCCCATCACAGACCCACTTGGCCAGCAGATCATGAAAGCTGAGGTAGGCCTTCTCTTTGTTTGGCCCTCTTGGGCCTATGTACCACTTAGCTACCATATTATCTTGCATTTTGTGGCATGTTAGCATGTATAAAGTTGACTAGATTTTGAAATCTCATGATATAAGAACTGTCTTGCTGGCAAATTATGTAATAAGGCATGCTGGATCTACTTCAGAGAAAGTTGTTCTTGTGCTGGAAAAAAAACCCTAGGTCCAGCCTGTACAGCTAGCAGAGTGAGCAATTTGCAGTGTTAGAAGAAGTTTTGGACATAAGTTGCTCCATGTGGAGCTCCTGCTTAGATGCCCTGGTGCTGAATTTTACAATCCCTGGGAGAAGAAGAGGTCATAGCTGAATATATTTATTCTAATTTGCCAGTATCTGGAAACATTATTAAGTTAGTTTCAAAAAATCGAATGACAAGCCTCTAGGATAAGAAAATATTTTGGACAAATATACATTTTATTCTGTGACAAGACATGAGATTTCTACATAAAATCACCCTGATTTCTTTCCGAAAAAAGGGTGGATATGTCTGTTTTTTGTGCATGTTATTAAGGTGCAGAAACATGCCAAATATGTTTAATTTATTAAAGCATAAATTACCTTTGAGATATGCAATTTGAAATTGAACAGTAGATGCAGGCTGTTACTTTTGGTCGAGTGCATAGGTTATCTCTTGTATTTGATACCCCTAGGGATATCAAAAGGTTTGTGAACTGAGAGCTGTGTGGTTGAACCATTTGAAGATATCACAATTTAATTTTGTGTGCTTAGTCAGCAACTGATCCTTGGTTTTGTGTCATTTTTGAGTATTGTACCTTCAGGAGATATGTAGAACACTGTCTTCAATAGGTGTAAATATTTTAATAGCTGTGGAAATGAATGCATCTCTTGGATATCTACAATTGTGTACAATTAAAGTTGCATTCACCTTGGATAAGGTGTCTCAGAGTCTTCAGCTTCCAAGTGGCATAAGTCCTGTTGCAAAGATGCCAGTGGCAGGTTGGAAATATTCTCAGTTGAAAGATCCAGGCTCTGGGAAACTGTCAGCATCAGCAATAGATGAAAACATTGTGGCTACACTGCTAAAAAGAGAAGTTGTCAGCTGAAGGTTCACCAGGTTGCTGAAACAAGCAATAATTGTTATACCATATGATATCTGAAAATCTTCCTTCAGCAGTACACAAATAGTTGAATTGTTTTCATTTGTTGCCATTGCTGGAGTTTCCCAGATCTTGGATCTTTCAACTTAGAATTTTTGAACCTGCCACTGGCATCTTCAAAACAGGTATGGAAACTGCAGACTCTTTGACACCCTTTCCAAGATGAAAGTTGAAAGAACTCTAAGATGAATTTCAATCAATTGTAGTTTCCGAACTTCAAGCAATGGGTTCATCTCCACTGCTATTAAAATTTTTAATCATTGAAGATAACATTCAACTTATCTCCCAGAAGTGTGTCCTTTTATGTACCTGTACCAGGATTTGACAATATTCTGTTTTTTCTGTAGTAGGATTTAATTGCCTGGCTTATCTGCTTTAAAAAAAAAAAACAAAAAAAAACATACTTTTGAGTCTTTCCAAGTTTTTTTTTTCCCATCAGATGAAATATGGAAAGAAAGTATAACTTTTTCCAGCACTGGACATGAGTTCATGTGAAGGATGAAATTATCATTTCAAAAATATACATATAAACACTGTTTATAAGCATAAGTTATTTTTAAATTTCCCTACCTTAGGTTCAGGATGCTATTTGGTAAACCCTGTTTGACCTTCATGCCACAAAAAGCAAGATTATATGGGATAATTTATTTCATTGAAGTAATTTATTTTACCAAGTCTCATCATTTCAAGTCTATCTTCATTTTTAGGCACCAGTTTTGCTGACTGGAGGAGATGTCATTTCTTCAGCCAAAAAATGGGACCTTGAGTACCTGGAAGCAAACCTTGGAATGGAAGACTTCGTTGTGTATTTGTCTGATTCTCATGTGTTCAAGTATTACGATGAGAAGAAAGTGAGAGACCCACAAGCATTGCCAAACTTTGTGCCTCCCATCAAGAGGAGTGATATGAAGTTTGCAGAATTTCGACGATATCTCAAGAAATGGCTACCTGAGCAGAAAAGGTAAAGCTTTCTGCAATTGCTTTGTTCAATTGCTAAACCATTGCTAGTTGCAGAGTATAGTTTTCCTCCCTTTGATTTGGTTCTGTCAGGCTATATTTACAGCAAGCCTTGAACAGCACTGTTGGAGAAGCAATAGTCAATGACTTCAGGGGCTTTCAGTGGAGTTGGATCAATGAGGTCCAAAAAGCCAATGGCTGGGGTCCACTCACCTCCAATCTTCTGTTCATTGGCATGGAAGGTACCAGATCTTGGTTTTCAGGTCCTTTTTTCCCATCTGTCTACCATTTTTTTTAAAGGTAAATGTACCCATGAAATACCATTTAGTTTAAGGCCTTAGGCTTAGGCCCTGTGTGCCATCTTTTGGGAATATCTTTGAATTACTTGCAACTGTAATAGATCAAACAGAACTTTGCACAGAACCGTTGAAACAACGATTAGGTAGGCCAACTGACAGTAAAGCTAGGCCGTCAATTCGATGGCTGGGTCGGCAGATGGGATAATGGACATTTAACTTTCAATCTTTCAAGTTTTAAGTTGGTGAGTTGATTGAACACATAGAAAAAGCATTTAACAGGTGAACTTTCTTTATTTGCCAACATATTTCCATTAAAAGTGTTGTTGAAATTCCCTTTTCTTCCAACTTATTTTATTCTATGATTTCTGGTATCTTAAACTTGGCTTCTGTTTCCAAGGATTAACTGATTCAAGTTGGGCACTTAAATGAAATGAGGAAAATTCCAAAACTTGATGGCAAGGAATGCATTTTGGTTATTGTCTCAGAAATGTATCATGGGATATTAAATCCCGAAAATCCTCAATTGCTGCACATCACTTACACATGGGGTTTGGAATGGATCACTGCTTTCAAGCAGGTAGCTACTGGAAGCATGAAGAATTCATTTTGAGATATTTTCAATGACTTTTCATCAAATTGATCCCATTTTTATATGCCTGTGAGCATGCTTCAATTTCTGTTTGGTGAAAATGCATTAGCTAGTACTAAAGTTCGAAATAGTCCTAAGGACTTTTGCCTGTAGTTTTACTAGCACTTCATACATAATGCAAAAGGTATTAAAGCAAGATTTGCAGTGAGCCATGATGGTCATTTTGGAGGACCCTTATGCACGACAAGAGTTATGTTTGAATTTCACGTATTGAGTCCTTCAGTGAACTCAAGTGAAGAACTCAAGAACTCTTCCCCAAGATTTGTTGGTCAGCCTAGGGCATGAATATAATATGCAATGAATTTCTCAAAATTCTTCTGTTGTGTCATTCTATGAACACTGGGAACACATTTTCATAATGTTAAATCCTTCATTTGATTCCAATTAAGGATGGACAATGTAATATTTGATATTACCATGCTGCATGCAGGCTGTGCTCAAATCCAATGCACCAAATGTGGGAATAATCCAAAAGCTCTTTAGATCATTCTTTGGCAGTTCAACTTTGTGTAATATGCACAATAACATGAGTCAAGCAACGTTTTATATTCATAACTTACTAAAGATAGATTTTGGAGTGAAGACATAATGAGACATATTCTTCATGTTTGCTTTAAAAGGGTGTTGAGTGATAAATATTTGGTTCATTTGAAGAATGATCAAATCTTGAAAATTTCAATTGCAGTTCCAATGGAAGACAGTGTATGTTGAATTAAACTTGCTTGAGACAACAGAGCTTTAACAAACTTCACTTGCCACTTTTATTCCTGTGAATGCAGGGAATCTGACACCAGCCCACTATGATGAACAGGAGAACCTTTTCTGCCAGGTAGAAGGCAGAAAGAGATGTATTCTTTTCCCTCCAGACCAGTTTTCTTGTCTTTACCCATATCCAGTCTACCATCCTCATGATCGACAGAGTCAGGTAAGCAAGTCTGTTCTCTCCTGCTTCTCTACATTGGTTTATTTTTAATAACAGCATTCTCTTCAGGTGGATCTTGAGAGGATAGACTATGTTCGCTTCCCAAAAGCCCGAGATCTCCACGGTTATGAGGCCATAATCTGCCCTGGTGATATTCTGTTCATCCCAAAATATTGGTGGCATCACATTGAGAGCCTATATGGGGGACCAGGTCATACCACTTCAATCAACTTTTGGTACAAGGTTAGTTGAATGTCTAAGCAGAAAACACTATTTTTTTCTCCCCTCTTCAAAAAATTTCAATTTTGTTTACAGGCTCCACCAGTAGGAACCATTGAATATCCACTGAAAGCCCATCAGAAGGTGGCAATGATGAGGAATGTTGAGAAGATGGTGACAGAAGCCTTGAGAGACCAGCGGGAAGTGGCTCCATTGTTTTGTGCTCTTGTTCTTGGTCGTTACACAGACAGAACTTAATGAAAATTTATATATAAACTTAACAGCCTCTATGGGAAATCTGTGATCAGCTGGTCAATTGGCACTTTCAGCAACATCTGCAGAATCATCCTTGCAATCAGAAATTCATCCCACCCCCATTTCCCAACACTTTGTTGGCTCTTATATTCGATGCAAAAGAATTTGCATTCCAGAAACAACTGATGCAGAACCCTCTTAGTGATACTCTTGCTTGCTGAAGATAAGGACACTTCATCAAAATGTCTCATTTCTTGTTCTGTTAGGTTTATCAGTGGTTGATAACAGCTATCTTGCACCTTACTGTTGCAGGCTCATGTCTGTCATAATATGAATTTTTTTCATGAAGGATCCTTTCAATTTTGATAATGTCTTTTCCATACATGGAGGGTATGACAATGAAAAGACTCTTTTTTTTTATATAAAAATCACTGCTCACACTGCTATTATTGCTGTAGTAGGTGCAAGTTGAGAGTCTGGGGTCTCTTTTTTGCCAGACTCTGAGGATTTATCCCTGAGGTCAGGATTTCCTTGTCCTGGACCTCAAGGTCCTCATTCTTCAGGCCCTTGTCATGACTTCCTCTACACAAAAATATCAACTCTGTCTTCATCCTCTGAATCTAGCAACTCATTGATGCGGCAGGTAGAGTTGAAGTCTTTTTGTTTACAAAATAGAGGCACTATTTAGAATGAGAGAAATGTGTCATTTACATAAATTATAGTCAAAGACCTGAACCCATAAATAACTATATCTCCTGCTGTATGGGAGATTGGTGCCAACTGTGGTTTGAATTGATGGAAAGCCCAGATTTTATGACCTCACTGCAGGGAAGAGGCAGATTGAAGGAGGAAGAGCCTACCTACAACCCTTGCTGAGAACCCTTGCTCAGCAAGGGTTGTGTATTACCTCTGTATGGTTGCCTAGCAACAATGGTTCAAGTTAACACTGGTTGAAGTATTGGATACAAGGGATGTTCAATAAGTAATGACTGCAACTCAAAAACATCTTAACTTTTAACAACTGAAATTTAAAAACTTTGAAGCCCTTCAGCATAATCCTCACCTACATCAACACATATTCAGAGCCTCCAGAGCCACTTTTGAAATGCCCATGCCTCTTTATAGGCTTTTTGTGGCCCCACTGTACAGCCGTACTAAGGTCTTCAAATTAGTGAAACTGTCTCCCAGCAAGGTTTTCTTTGAGGGTAGGGAATGTCCAGAGGGGCTAAATCAGGGGAATAGGGTGGATGGAAATGAACTTTGACTCCATTTCTTCCACAACCTTCTGGGTCACCCTTGCCTTATGGCTTGAAGCTTTGTTGTGATGGAGCCCAATTCTGGTGGTCCCACCAAAAAGTCATTGGTATTTCATCTCAGCCAAAACCTTGGGGGCACACTCCCTGAGTAAAACACTCCAGTGATTGTTCCCCCTCAGGCCTGATGTCCACAACCACAGGCACTTGGTAACAAAAAATGGTAATCATCATCATCCCAGAGTGAAACCCAGATTTGAGGATATCTGGTTGGGGCTAATCTTCTAACTAAACCATGTTGTTTTGCTTGTTTGGATTGAAGTAACTAATTCACATTTCATCACCTGTGATAATGTCTGTGATCCATTTTGAGCCACCAGGACCTTAGATTTCCAGCATTTTATGACTGATCTCCACCCTGATCCCTCAATCAATGAGGAACCCAGTGGGTACAAATTTTTACTGCCTAGATCTTCAGAGGAGCAACACCAACACCCCATAGAAAAACCCCACATCCACCTCCAAATCATTTTGATTGAAGGGGAACAGTCCCCCATGAGGATACTCAGATCTGACTTTATTTGAGCAAAAGACAGTCCCAGTTTCTGCTGAGCAAAGATTTAAAAGCAAACATTATTTTGGGAAGTTAGACATTTCTGGTTGTAGGGAAAAATCAAGCACTTGTCTGGAAATTCTTGAGACTAATGAAACAGGCCCTTGAAAATTTCTTAGAAGACAGAGCTTTTGATGAGGGGTTTTAAATAAGAAACGTTTGCATGAAAAAGAACCCATGTTTTCTGAGGGACAGTCATAACTTACCAAATAAACCTCATACTTGAAAAGTGACAAATTAAAGTGAAGAATTGCAACACCAAGGGTTTTTACATAGTGTGCTTTGTTGCCAAACAATTTTTTTGGGCAATTCTAATGCCATTCACTGCATCACTCTTGTCATAGAACTTAATATACCTGTCAGGGTCAGTTTTTGTAACATTTTAACCTTGATTACCCATACAAGGCCACTTGTTCTGTTTGGGTATACATCCTTTTGATTTTGTGTCAATTCCACCATCCAACTTGAGGCTCAAGGTCTGTCTTTCAAGAACTGACATTTCTGGAGTTGTTCCTCTTTGTGTTTGTGACTAACATGTAGAGCAAGAACAAGCACTGATTGCAGAATAATTATGCAAATTTTGACAATGAAGATGACTCATACACACCAACAAGAGGAGGATGGAGGGCTGGGGCCAAGATTTTCTGCTGTAGTGTCCATGGGTGATGGAATTGAGGTGGCCAGAAAAGTGTGAACACCAACTCTATTGCAAAGAACAAAATGCACTGCAATGCTCCCTAGATCAAGTGCTACACATCTAACTCCAACCTTTTTTGGATCTGGTTGTCACCCCATTTGCCAAAACAATGGGTACCTCTGGTTGAGTCTGAGATCCTCTTAATTGAATAATTGAAAAATATTACAGCCTCTGGTGCATAGCATGAGACACAGTGAATCATATTTTAGCAGACCATAAAGCTAAACCTAAACCTGTGATGTTTTTTGTGAGCCACCATTCTTTTGGAACTTGGGGTTCTGCACTGGAATCAAACACATTAATCCTTTCTCTGTAGGGTCATAAATGGTGTGGAGCTCCTCCCCCTTCTCCTGGAACAAAATGGGGATGTTTAAGAAAAGAATGGGACAGGTGAAAATCCCAGGAACAGGATTTTCATGCTCTATAATTGTAAAATATGCTCCAAACTTTTCTCAATGGGATGGTAGTAAGGCTTTGTTTCTCTTTTTTTGGCACTTAAGTAGTTCCAATTTCCATTGACACAATGGCATCCCAACATCATTTCAAAACTGACTGGGGTCAGATTCTGGCAATTGGATCTTAGCAGAGCTTTAAACAAAGAAAAAAAGTGCTCTACATCAATGCTAGAGACAGGCATACAAGAAATGAGGAAAGACATTGGCTGGCAATTTCACTTTGGGAAAGTTTGACTCATTTCCACTGAGAACAATTAATGCACTGCCTTGTGTCAAGATCTGGATTCTTCTGCATCAAGGAATCAAACTTTCCCAATAGTTCTAAGTATTGATTCCAGCTGTTTCGCCACAGACTTCATTAACTTTGGAGATTGAGAGTTTGAACCACATTCTTCCAATAAACACCAAATCTCCCTAGACATTCTCATCCTGGAATGTTTCCTGTGAAGCCTGAATGCAATACGCATCATCTGAAGCAAAAGAGTCCATAACTTCCTTCACAGCAACAAAATTGGCATATGATACAGCATCCAGCCATGTGCCCCACCAAGAGAGTATGGGTTCTGCTGGCAACTGAAGGTCAGGCTGGCAGTCTTTAAACTTTTAAATTCAAGCAGCTTTCAAAAACACTTGCTTTGTTGAGATTGTCAACTTGGGAGAACATCCCCCTCACAAACTTGCAGACATGATGAAGAGCATGTGCCAAGCAGGTCACATGAAGCACATTCGGACCACAAAAGCGCTTGGCACAGGCAGGATGGACAAGGTTGCCACACAGCTTTTCTGCTATGAGCAATTCAAGAATGCAGTCTGTCCATTACTCTTTTTATCATCAAATTTTCAGTGTCATGGGAAAAAAAGTTTTATTTATAGGAAATATGCTCCAAAACACTGATATTTACCATTTCATGCTGTCACAACCAATATATGCTAAACATGCTGAATAGAACAAATGCCATTCGGCTTTCCTCATTGACAAAGATGGCTACATTAATGGAGCATGAAAATGGTCAAAAGGAAAAAAACAAGCTATAGCATGAAAATCCACTTCCTAGTTATCACTGAATGAAGAGAATGCATGGGACACTGACACAAGTTAGAGTTTATTGATTCAAGAAACCAGAAAGAAAACCAATTAATGAGACATGACAAAGGAATGTGTTCTTAGCAGGAACGGGAACTTAGAGGCTGGCAAAAAAAAAAAAAAAATCAATAGGTGAAGGAAGAGACAGAAGGAGGCAATCTAAAACGCATGAATATTGCCAAGCGCCCTTGGACAGGTCCTCAGAGCTGCCCACAATCAGCAACTACTATCTTCTTGCTGGTCTTTCCACTCTGAGAACCATAGGTTTCAACCTAGGAGGATAAAATGCATAAATACATTTATTCAAGAAATGGAAATTTTCAATAAGGTTAAAAAGGGAAAGAGAAATGACTCACCTTCTTGACAACATCCATGCCCTCCACAACAGAACCAAATACAACATGCTTGTTATCAAGCCATGCAGTTTTCACTGTGGTCAAGAAGAACTGAGACCCATTTGTGTTGGGACCAGCATTTGCCATGGAGAGGATCCCTAGAGAAAAAGCAGGTTTTTGAGTGAAATTCTTATCTGCTAGCTAATTTTCACTAATTAACTTCTTCCATCATCTCATGTTTCTGCAGGGGATGAGGGATGAGGACTGTGCTAGTAGGTCAGATTCCACTTGATCTTTTGGGATTCATGAAGATGACCTGAAGTGTTAAATGAATTTCCTAACGACTCTCTAGCCATGCTAAAACCTACCAGGGCCTGTATGCTTCAGGGTGAAGTTTTCATCTTCAAACTTGGTACCATAAATGGACTTCCCTCCAGTGCCATTGTGGTTGGTGAAATCCCCACCCTGACACATGAAGTTTGGGATGACTCGATGGAAGGTGGACCCCTTGTAGCCAAAGCCCTTCTCTCCAGTGCAAAGGGCTCGAAAGTTCTCTGCTGTCTTTGGCACCACGTCTGCCCTAATCTATCACAAGGGGGGGAAAAAATCAAAACAATCACCAATAAAATTCTTTATCCCAACTCATGATTCAATGTGAAAATGGTTATCAAGGAATATTTTTAAATTCTAAAGATTTGAAAATCAAGGGGCAAAAAATACATATATACAATGAGAAGGTTTCACACAAGTGAAAATAACAGAAAGCAGGTTGGCTCCATACTGAGCAGGAGAATAACAAAACATCTAATATCAGCCAAGTTTGATTGCACTGCAACCCTTTGAACACACCAGGTTTTATACAATTTAACACCTGTGATACGCCAGAGTTAATTACCAGAAAGAGCCTGCTTACAAGGTGTGGTAACACAAGCAACCTCCAAGCAATGGAAAAATTCAAGAGTTACAAAAAAATTACTACACACCATGTGAGGGGACAAGTGAATCTGTGATCAAGCTCCTCCATGATGTGTACTGGTGTGTCATGTGTTCAAGAGGTTAGACACCCACATGCTATATTTATATGCCTTAATTAGGTGAGAGCTAGCTGTTCAGGAGGTTTCACACAAATGTGAAATTAAGATATGGGTACATTACTTTATGAGATTGTTTAGTTTTTGATGTAGGTCATGGCATCATTATGTCAAATATGCACAAGACCTCAGGTCACTAGTCAAACATTCAAGAACAGACACTTGTGCAGTTTGTCCTATTTTTGTACTGCTTCAGAAAATTGGCATAAATGCATGAAACTTTTACAATAAGGGAGCACATGGAGAGCTAATGCCTCTTCTCTGAGCACATCTGAATCTTTCCTCAGTCATTCAATGGAATATACCAAAGAGGCAATGGCATCAGCTTCTCATTTATATCATGCAGCCTTTCTTACCATACCCTCAATTATATATTCCCAAATCATCTCAATCTTTTCTATGTCCAACTCCATGCTAATTTATGCATTGCCACCATATCTTTGTAAAGATAGAAAATACACTTCCAGATTGAATGCAGTAAAACTTGCAGTTGGGTGGGTTTGTTGATCACCAAATGAAGCAAACTCTCTGGAAGTAGTGCCCTCTCTGTTAACCCTTCAAGTTCTGAGTTTTGACCTGACCTCCTGAGTGATGATTGTATGGTGTACATGAAAACTGCTTTAAGGGTTAAATACCCAGGAAGGTGCAATCTGGGAGTTAGGCCTAACTAATTCCATATATTTACTGTGAACACTCTTTTTGAGATTACCTACTTGCATGGATAATAAGTCATTTAACCTGCATACATGTTTTCATATATATTACTATGTCTCTGCACTTAAGGATTTCTGATTTGCCTGAACAACCCCAATCAGTATATGAAATCACCTATTGAATTTTCATACAAATAGTTCTATGCAGTCAGGCTGTGAATTCTGTAGTTAAAATTCAGGTTTATCATATCTTCTCCTCATGGTAGCAAAGTACTGTATATGATACAATTTTGTGCCTTTACTGTCCAATTTCTGCTGCAAAAAAAACCTAAACAAATCCCGATTTGGGGCATGACCCTACCAGAAGGGTGCCATCGTAAGCGTTAGAGTCTGATGCTACAGTATTTTACATTTGAGTGGGACAATTTTTAACTTGACTTGGACACACGTGCATGGAACGTTCCTCACGCTTGAATGCCAAAGTCAAGTGAAAAACCCTACAAATTTCACAAAGTTCGTGGCCAGTGCCTGGATATGACGCTTAATCGTGGGCTCAGGCCTACCTCCATGATGATGCGGCCCACAGGCTGACCGTCGGCGGTGATATCGAAATAGCATTTGGGGTTGCCCTTGCTCATCTTGGATTGACCAGTTGAAGTTTCGTTGACACGGGTATTGGCTTGGGTAGATCCCGACGAACCGTAGCAGGGTGATGACACGACGGCAAATGACCGAAGACCAAGACAGCGAGAAACACCGGCACAACGGACGAACTTCAAGGCAACGCCGGTTCCAAACATGGCTTCCACTTTTCTCATCCGCCCTCCTGCTTCCTCCCTCATTCCGTATACCTCCATTAAAGTCGTAATTTCATAAAATATTGTTGATCTCAGATTTATTTGCTTCCAATTATTAAAATGATTGAAAAATAAAAGGGATTGATTTCAACAGAAAGAGTTTTATTTGGATCTATGTTTTCCTCATGCTGTAATGTGCTTTAAGCGTCCATAGTTCCGGAAATCAGATCTGTATCAAGCCTTACGCATTCCACCGCATGCGTGAACACATTATTTTAGTTTAAAAGCACTATTGAGATAGAAATTTCCAAAAGTTCTGCATCGTAAATGAAATAAGGCATTGTTATCGGTTTGTGGATTTGGTTTTTGCGGAGCAACTTCCAAGGCGAAATCGGACATCCTGGTCAGTTCTCAATCCCAACATGGACGTGCACAGGCACGGGAATTGTTTTGCGATTCCCAATGACAACAGGTTGAACATTTCTTCCTCTACTTTGCTGTCTAAACGTATCAATATCTGCATGTATTTATTAAGAAAGGAATAAATTATTCACCAATTCTCATAGAAAATAGGCATAAGATTAAGAGTAGGTTAGGCTCTGCAGGTGAAGTTCTAGCTTATGCATGACAGGTTAATTTTGTTTAATTAGAGTTAAGGCACTTCCAGATGACTCCAACACTTGTGGAACCTTCCTTACATGAGTGTCATGATGATGTGATATTCTCAACTTAGAAGCAGAAAAACCTGGCAATTAACAAATGTAATATGGCAGGGATATTGTTTCATTTCTTGACATTTAATGGTAGACTGCTCTAAACAAATAAACATCAATGGAATTGGAGGTGCATGTGTCCTGCAATGCTTGCCATCTGGAGTAAAAAAAGAAAAAAGAAGCATAGGAAGATATCTGTGTTAATCTTTCACTGCACCATGTTCTGGATTGGGAACACACATGATATATGTTGAGTGGCATAAGAATAGTGGGTGAAAGGGAAATGTTTAATTTTCTCCTGATCTTAATTGAGAACTATATGGGAGCAAAAAAAAAATGCACTAGCCTTTAAAGTTCTGTGGTGCCTCTGAAATAGCATCTAGCAAAACAATGTTTCTTCTATCCCTATATCTGCATATTTTGAGCATCCTGAAAATTTTCACTCATATCTCTAGCTGTTTAACCCTTATCTGGGGAAGGTATTTCTGGGACAAAAATGGGCCACAGGGTACCCATATTTCCCAGTTTAACCACACAAGCAAATTTGCAAAAGAAACTGGAAATTTTATTTTTGTCCTTGCAATTGGATGCTGACAGAAGGAACTATCCCACTGACTAAAAGTGACAATTCATTTCAAAACTTTTTTCCCTCTGCACTTCAGAATCTACCAAACAGATCCCTGGCTCACCCATATGTTAGACAATTCGCTGATGTAGTTTTCACCTGGATATCCCTGGATATTAGTCTTAAACAATAACCTCTTTGTTCATGTTGTTTTCTTCAGTTAAGGCTCATTTTAGTCTCCCGTTCTCTCTCTTCTCTTGGATTAACCTGCTCTCACAGTTGGTGAATCAGTATATACTGAATTTTTTTCTTAGATTATGGAAGATGCTCTCATTACCAAACAAAAAAACTTCTAAGAAGTTAAATGATCCTAATGAAATTTAGTACACATGCTCATGTGTAGTGTGTTATGAAGTTGGAGTTTCTTGGGCATGTGATGAGTATTTGTATTAAGCCAAAGACTCTTTTTTAAATGGGGGCAAGGAAGTTGTACAAAAAACAGTCATCCAGAAGGATTTCATTAATGAAGCATGGTACAGGAACTCTTAACCTTTTGCACATTAATTTCTTTGATCCTCCATCTGAATTGTCAGGGTATACTCAACATCAAAGGGATTCTAAAAGTTCTATCATCATCCTTATCCTTCAACAATCTTGTGATATTACTTTGTGAAGATTTCAGGAGAATTGGTGCTGCTTGTTTCATGTGTATAAGAGCATTTACTTCTACAGAATAGTCCAAATGTTCCCAGCTACATTTATATCAGGGAAACTTTTAATTCATTCTTTATTTCCAAAGAAATCATTTTATCTTTTTTTTCAACCCATGAATTCAGCTCAGGTGTCGTGTTTCTTGAAGTAAAATTGCATGTAAATCTAATTTCTTTACTGTTATTTAACATCTGAAATTGCAGAATCAAAATTGAATGAGGATTCCAAAAATATCCTTTTTGATTTTCCAGAAATTACAGTTTAGGCTCTGGATAGGGGGAGGCTATGTGCAACATCTGTCACACAGTTTGTACCCTAACCTTCCTTCATGCCCAGTCTTTTTCTTGTGAACTCTTAAGATACATGACTACTCTTTATTGAGTCTGACTGCATGTGTTGAAGGCAATAATGTATTCACCAGCTCTGATCTGGACAGCTTGCCCATTGATAACTAAGGAATATGCCATATTGAAGCTCTGGGACCAGTGACCTGCCAGGGCTATTGTACATCTTGTGAACACCATGTACACCCCGAGTTCGTTATGTGAACATCTACTATAAGCCTATGTGTACACCTTATACAGGGCTATGTGACCACCTCTCATAAGCCTGTGAACACCTATCTTGTGTACCCCTGTACACCCGACGTGAACACCTTCCCGTTCCTGCCCATTACCCTACTACAGGGTCGTCATGCGACGTAAATGATGTATGCCGAAATGCATGCGATAATTTTTATATGCAATGTCAGTCAATGGAATGGATGATACATTGATAGTGGTCGTAGTGGTGATGTCACTGAGGGAACTGCTGCCTTGTGTTGCTACTATTGCTATATGTGCGATACAGTCAACTCTCGTTAATCCGAACGCCAGTAATCCAGATCTTCCGTTAATCCGGACTTTCCAGCAAAATACATATAATACAATAGAAAATAAAAGATTTCCCTGTCTTTTCCCCTTTTCTTTACTTTCCTTCACCCTTGGATTTAAAATGAATAAATAAATAAATGTTTGATCTCCCCAATTTCCTGGAACCGAGTAATGAGGTGCCTTCATTTTGTGCGATTTTCTTCTTGCAAAAAAAGAAGAAAAATGAATGGACACTCGGGCAGGGACTCAATAATCCGGAAAAATCACCAGTCCCCTTGAGTCTGAATTAACGAGAGTTAGACTATATATAAGAATTAGAAGTTGACGTTCAGCTCCAGTAGAAATAAAAATTCCCAGCAGATAGCCTTGCATGGAAACCATAAGAGAGCGCTGGGGAGGTGCTTCAATATGGCACATTTCATAGAAAATGGATAAGATGGCTTAATCAAGGCTGGAAAATATATATTCTAGGCCTCCTCCACCCATGCTTTATACTTAGTTAGTATATGGCTATAGTCACAAGGCGAAGACTGGGCTTAAAGGATGGGTGTACACAGGGTGTACATGGTGTTCACAAGACGTACAATAGCCCTTGCCTTATATGGCTTCTTGACAAGCTTTCTCCCAATACAGATATTATTGAATCTTTAACTTTCAGTTAACCTACATTAACCTTTTAGAAAATTTTCAAGTTTTTTAAGAGAGCTTTCCATATTCAATTCCATTTCCTCCTTGTCTCCTTTCCTCATGATGAGACCCATGAGCTAAAGTTGCTCCAGTAGTCTCTCTGAGGGATGATTTGTCCAGTTAAATTTATTACATGTATGGTATCATAGGTTAATGGACTTCTTGTGCTGTCATTTCAGAGATTCATACAGTCACAAAACTCCAGATATTGGCATAAGAGCACTGTAACTTAGCTTATGTGAGGCTTTGATGTGATTATAACTGAGAACATTTTGATTTTCCTGCCTATCTCAGATGTCCACCTTTGAAAAAAAAATTCCTGCCTGGTGCTCATGGTCCCACTGACCCCCTTCCTCTAGGGCCTTTATAAGAATAACATAATAAATAAATAAAATTATTAACCCATCGAACTATGATTCTTTTGTGTTTTGTTATAAAAAAAAAAACCCACACAATTAAGTGAGTGATCACAGCTCATCAAAAGAATCTAAATAAGTTATTATGGTTCTGTGAATTGCAATGAATGTAAAGGTTGCAAATTATTCAAGAAGACATGTCCATTTATATTAACCCAATGTCTGACACATAATTGGTTACATTCATTCTGACCAAAAATGGCATCTAGGATAAGCTTGCCTATCTACCTCTCTTCTCTATAAAGGAGAGAGGAGTGGATAGAATCACTCAAATCTATCTTTGTTCAACCATTGTTCAGGAATGTAATAGATTCAGAGTTACAGCAGCATGAGAGTGGTTGTATCTGCTTGACAAGGCATTTTCACTTTCAATGTGATTTTTGGATCAAGGACAAGGTGAAAAGGGGAGAGAGTGTAGGCAAGGGCAGGATTGATGGAAGGTGAAGTGATTCATGACAACTTACGACCATAGCCTAAATACATGGGAACCTTTGCCTTCTGGGATAGGTTATGTTCATGCTGCTTCTAATCCTATGACAGGCCTGGACTTAGTCTTGACATTATCTACATATAGTAATTTACCTCAGATTGTGATGGAAAATTGTAGCTTTTTGTCCTTTTTTTGCAGATGTTGATCATACATTACAGAGAGCAATGTCTTTTATGCGTGGTCATAAGAGGAAACGTAAGCTCAATGCTGAGGAAGGAGAGCTCTTTAGTGAAGGAGAAAATGCTGATCCACGACGTGAAGTAAGTTTTCTTTTCATGAAGGCTCTTGGCTGGCATGCAATGACAATATCTGGATTTTATCATCCAAATGGTGGATGTTTCTGATGGTATTTCCTCAGGATGCTGGGAAGTCAGAAGAGAGGCGTAGGATAAGAAAGCGCAAAAAGCAGCTGTTTCGACAACTGAGGCAGCAGATTGAGTTCTATTTCTCAGAGCCAAACCTTAGCAAAGACAAGTACATGATGGAGCTCATGCATGGGAACACCACTAACTGTGAGTCACTTTGCTACTCTATGCTTGCAGATGAGAAGGCATGTTGCATTAAAGAGAACATGACTGTCATTCCCATCTTTCTAGGGGTTGCATTGTCAGAATTGATGAAGTTTAATCGAATTAAGAGCCTCACCAGTGATGTGAAAGACATTCGCAAGGCCCTCTCTCACTCTGACAACCTTGAGGTCTCCCCTGATTTGACAGCTGTTCGTCGGAAATCTCCAGTTCAACCCAAGGAAGACTCAGATGATTGCACCATCTATATTGTAGGTATCTCTCCTTGCACTGAAGACAGGCCAATTATTAATCTTTTTCAATCCTCCTGGGGGTGTTATCAGGGAAGTCATTTGACTTGCAGTTATTTTGCATCATCCAGATTAATGTTAGTTTCAGTTTATTTGTATTTGATGCAAATATTATTGAATGCAAATATTATTTATTTACTTGTGTCAACTAAAGCAGTCATGAAGGCTTGGTGATAAGGTCTTGAGTAGTAATAGTTGTCAGGGCTATCCAAGTATGTTTTCCAATGGTGCAGCTCTGTCCTTTAATATACCTTTAATTACCTGAATTCAATTTTTATTTTAAACAGTTTTACAGTATTCACTCACCTCTATGCCCTGTTTCTATTTTGTTTAATTTCCATTACAGATTGAAATGAATTAGGTATATGAAGTGATTGCTCAGGATGCACTGACATCCACATGGCCATTCTGTTTGTCACTCATTTTCCTACCTTTTAAAGAGGACAGGTTGTGAGTCTCTCTTGAGGCTAGCTCATGGAAGAGGGGAAGGCATAAACCTCTCACTCTCTTATCAAGTATCCAGAAAATTCTGTTGTCAGAACTAGAGATTCATTTATATTGAATTCCTCACAGAATCCAATATGCTGGGGAATGTGTTAAAAAAAAAAAAACAGTTTTGAATAAGTGATATCTGATATCCACATAGTTTCTCCTATTTGAGGTTAAAAAATAATAATAATGACTTTATATCAGGTTGTAAAGGTGAAATTTAGACATTTTCCAGAAAACAATTTATTGACAATTAACTCAACAACGACTAGAGTGCAGTCTTGCGTCAATGTATCTGTTGTAGGTTCACGATAAGCACTCACGCCCACAATGCCCACTGGTCACTCTACTTATACACCTACATAGAAAGTTCTAACATTTTCCAGATTTTTCTAGAAAAAATCGAAATGTCTAAATTTCACCTTTACAACCTGATATAACTAAAAGATAAATCGATTCAGAGTGCAGTAACTTGGTTGAGAGAGTGAGAGGCTTGTGCCTTCCCATGTGGAAGTTGGCCTGGAATGAGACTCATGACCATGCAAACTGATATTAGTGGTACTGTATAACTTCTTAGAACCTTTCTTGGAAAAGATTCCGGAAAGTCAAATGATTCTTTAGTGGGCGTAGTTCGTTGTCAACGAATTACACCCGGTAATACTTTGGTATTTCTCACGTTCGTAATGTCCATCCCATCTCCCTACCCAATTAGCGGTGGACAGGTTGGATAGACGCTAAATCCGACCACTTTCGCTCCTGGTTTAGGTATCACTCCCGTTCCTGTCCCGATTTCACTAACTCTCATACCTTCCCCGTACACCCCATGCGCACTGCAAGCTCTACCCTTCGTCCCTTCTTCATCGCCCTTTGGCTGCACGTCTTCGCAAATAGGATACAACAAAATTACTTTATTGGCTAAACAAATGGTGTAACCTTGGTTTTGATTATATTCTTTTACTTCTCTCCGTTCATTAAAAGAATGCGACTAAAAAAAAAGCCCAGCCAGATTGGTGACATTTTATTTATCGTAATTTGCCAAGTCCAGTTCGTCTCGTTCGACCTCCGCATCGTCGGGGTCGACGGACTGACGACGCATCGCCGAAACGCGAGAATCGCCTCAGGTGTTCGCAGACCCCGGCGCCGTCAGGAATGGCGCCTCGGATGCGGCGCTGGCAAGCAGAGCGCCGGCATGGGGGCGCGTTTACGGCGTCGTCCTGACTGCCGAGCCGGCGCTTCTTGGCCGAACTGAGCTTCTCCGCGACGCAGACGTTCTTCCCTCGCTTCTTTTTCGGTAAGACCCCTGGATGACGCGTTTTCATCGTCTGCCTTGGGGACAAGTGAGACGCGAGCGGGGCTGCGACGTGAGCCATCGCTTCGACGATGTGAAATCCGAATGAGATGGTCCCAAATATACCATCATTCTGACTGGTTTTTTTCACTCGCATTTTTTTATGAACGGAGGAAAGTAATTACTCCCTCTTTTTTAGAGGGAAAAATTATCATGCTTTCAGAATTCCGTATTTACCTGCATGCCCGACAGCCTGAATATGATTTGGGTAGAATCACGAGAAAACTACTAACTGAAGGTCACCCATGCCTGAACCAGGCTTGGGTGACCTTCCAGAACAGGTATGGAAATGTATTGGTCTGTTACCAGGCTCTCCATGACAAAAAATATTTTATGATGGAAGTGATGCATTTAGCTGCATTCTGGTCTGGGAAGCTGTCTGTCCACTCCATGTTTTAAATAAATCAATCCCACTGCATAGAGAAGGTCTTAAGTAGCTAGCAGGGCATGGTGTCATGAATGAAGGTAACTTTCTGCGTTGTACAGGGTGGGCCAAAAAAAAACCTGAAAAATTTTTTTTTCTTCAGATAAGTGAGAACTGCAGTGTCCGAAATGCCTCAGTGGTCAGTCCAAGAGCCCTTATGCATAGTTGAGCACTATTTCCGAAGTTATGGTGCTGATCAGAGTGATAATTGGAAACTAATCCAAACATTCACTTTCTGTGAGTGCAGTGATCTCTGAGCATAAATCTCTGGCCTCTCCCATCCTAGAAAACGTTGGTTTTGCTTATTCATATGGCCGCTTAACAGAACGCAACATTCATCAGACCACCACAAGTTCGTCAGAAAATCATCTTCATAATGTTGCCCCAGCACAAGAGTACAGTACTCTACTCTCATTTGTTCGTCTCTCGGTGAAAGAGCTTGGAAGACTTGTACTTTGTATAAAAATGGCCCAATGTCTCTAATAATGAGCCTAACACTTCCCCAAGAGATATTACATTATTTGGATATTCGACGTTTGTTTTCTGGGGAGACTGAAGCACCTTATCTAAAACTCTTCCTGTGTTTCAATTCACACGACAGTCCGCATTCGGCTTGACTTTCCTTGATTCTGGTTTAATACTGACCCAGTTTCACTAAACTTCTTACCCATCGCTAGGATAATTTTTGGAACATCTTTTGGCATGAAATCCTCTTTTCATCACTTCTTGGGATGATCCATCTCTCCAACCAGCTCCACTATCCACACACGCTCTTGGACTGACAACTGAGGCATTTCATTCACTGCAGTATTCAATACTTATCTGAATCGAAAATTAAAAAAACTTCAGGTTTTTTTAAAATAACTTTCACGATAGCAGTTTAAAAAAAAACATAGATGCATCGACCTGAACTATCGATAGTGCATCGATGCCACCGAGGGGGGGGGGGGGGGGGGGGGGGGGATCTGATGAATGTTGCGTTCTGTTAAGCGGCCATATGAATAAGCAAAACCAACGTTTTCTAGGATGGGAGAGGCCAGAGATTCAATCTTATCTCACCGCGATCGGGCGGAGGTTTGACTATCGTCGTTTCTTGTCTCGATTGGGGTGCGGACCTCTCTCCGTCTTCCATAATCTCAAGCTTGCGATCGGGTCGTGCCGGGGGAAGGTGTGACCTTCGAAACGAGTAATGAAGCCTACCATGCCTCCAGCAATCAAAAATGACATCCATTCGTCGATGACAGGACAGTCCTAATTTGTTCTTATTGGCATTAAGAATCAGTTGCCCGTTCACGTAGTTTTCTTCTACACCGTCTTCTTTGGATATCAGTACAGCCCTTGATTCAAGCGACTTCCATGTAAAAAATTCTCTGTCTTCCCTCCCTTTGGTTTCTCACCCCCTGTCTCCGATTCCATTTTTTTCCCCTTTCCGTCTTTCATATCAGTCCCAGCATTTTTAGAATTTGATTCTGATAAGAATTTGTTTAGTCCATGTGGGTCACGCCGTCGCTTCCTTTCCCCGCCCGGACTGTTTTGATTATACAGGGTGACACAAAAGTTCTGTACACTCGGTTATCTCAACTTTTTATAGTCATTTTTAAAGAACTCACAAATGGGGACAATGCTATTAGAAACTACAACCATTTCAACAGATAATGCCCGCAAATTCATTCAAAATGACCACCTTTTGCTGTAACACAATCGCGAAGTCTCTTTCGGAATGCATCGACTGCGGCACGCAGGGTTTCCTGGGGGATTTTGATCCATTCCGTTTGAAGGGCACGCTTCAGGGATTCGAGAGATGCATGGGGAGTAGCACAGGCTTTGCTCTCCAAGATGCTCCACACGCAAAAGNAGGAAACCCTGCGTGCCGCAGTCGATGCATTCCGAAAGAGACTTCGCGATTGTGTTACAGCAAAAGGTGGTCATTTTGAATGAATTTGCGGGCATTATCTGTTGAAATGGTTGTAGTTTCTAATAGCATTGTCCCCATTTGTGAGTTCTTTAAAAATGACTATAAAAAGTTGAGATAACCGAGTGTACAGAACTTTTGTGTCACCCTGTACTATACTCGTCGCAATCCAAATCCATTTGCCCTTCAAAAATTTTGCAGATACATCGCGATGGTCGAAAAAACTATCAATACCTCCAACCATCGATAGTGGTATCGATGCATCGACCTATCGTGACAGCCCTAGTCTTTTTTGGCCCACCCTATACTATTTTGATCATTTTCCTTTCTAATATTGAAATAATTAATAGATACATTAAGACCAATATTGTTATTTTTATTTTGTCCATAATGTAGGAGTTAAATCATTTGATTAAGCCATGTGTAACACTAGGAGTTGTGTTTCTGAGTATTTCGAAGCCATGAGAGCAGTAGTCAGAATTTTAAAAATGATTTGCATTAGGGTGCTTTTGGGTGAAATAAATAAATTGCTCAAAATTCTGTTTCCAAAAGAAAGTTTGCTCAAAAACTTTAGTTATTCACAGTTGTAATGTATGGTTTCTACAGTTATGAAATTCATTTACTTTACCTGTGCATCAATTTTTCCATAGGAAGGGGTGCCAAGCACAGCCACAGTGGATTGGATGAAACTTGTATTCTCACAGTGGGGCAGTGTCACATATGTAAGCCTTCCCAAATTCTCTTCAGGAAGATGCAAGGGCTTTGCCTTTGTTGAGATGGATACACCTGCATCTGCTCTCAAAGTCCTTCAAGTATGATTGCACAGCATGTACCAGTCACCAAGATCTCTACACTGGTGCTCTTTATTCTGTCTCTTTACTCCATGAACAGGTATTTGGAGAAGTGGGACTAGTGCAGGATGGCAGTGGAGAAGGAGGGGAAGCCAAGCCTCCCCCCTTGAGCTTCCAACTTCATGGAATATCAGAAAAGGAAGCAAAAGAAACATTGTCATACACTGAACGGGCAGAGCCACGCTCACTCTGTCATATCCTGGGAAGACCTTCACAGGACCAAGGTAGGTTAAGACAGCAAGAAAGAAAACTTATTATCTGTCCCTCCTTTGGTTATTGATGTAGACCTATGATGACATTTCACCCTGAAACAGGTGAGAAAGGATTGGAAGAAGGGGAAATTGATGCCACTGAAGAGGATGAGGAGGATGATGGAGAAGGTGGAGGTGAGATAGGGAAAGAGGAGAAGTGGAAAAAGAAAAAGAGGAGAAAAAGGAAGAAGAAGGGAAAAGTTGAGATAGAGATTCCTGCACTTCTTGGCTTCCATGTTATGCCAAAGTTAGTTCTCATTTATGTTTTTTTAATAATGGTTTTGAACAACAATGTGATAGAATGTTATAATGCTATTGATCTCATGCTGCACAGGGTGGAATGGAAGAGGTGTCGTAATCGGTACTTGACCCTCCAGCGCATGAATTATGGTGCCTTGAAGAAGACACTTGAGGCTATGAGGCAACAGGCATCTTCTGTTCCTGTCATACCTCAGTTTCCTGTTCCTGAGTGCGGTTTCATTTTATCATTGTTATACCATATTTAATGCATTGTGCATCATGCTGATTTAAAACTAGGTTTGCCAAATTTCTATCTTTTCCTTTTACTCTGAAAAAAAAAAACTAAGGGTGGATTTTTGAATAGAGCACTATCCGATAATGCAGCTTTATTTACCAGATTTATTATGCATTTTCTCGGAAATAAAGCTGTATTATCAGATAGTGCTTTGTTAAAAAATCGACCCTAAGATTGCCAGCTTGTTGGAGTGAAGGAATTTCCTACTGCAGGCTTTTACTATGGGAAGAACATTAGGAATATTACGTCAAGTGAGTATGAAATGTTTAAAGGAATAACTTTCTCCTTAACATGAAAAGAAAAGACATACTGTAGATGCATAGCCCAACAGAAATCACTGGGATGTGATGGATCATGTTGCTCTCTCTACCTGCCCTGTCCTCACGTATTGCATATTGTACCCTCTCTAATTACATCATAAACTGTCATAAATTAACTTCCTCACCTCATCCTCCCCATAATTGACCAAGAGATCTTTTAAAGATACACAAACTCCTCTCTCCCTGATCCCCTAATTTGACTACAGTGCAAGTGTTTAGTTTTTTGTTCCTTTTTTTTTTTCTTTGTGGGTTTTCAAATGGAATAAGATTTTTGCTGATGTACAGGGTGTGCCAAAAGTTCTGGAACCAACTCTTTAAAAAGTTTTACCCTAGAACTGAACAAAAAAATCACTGGTTAGACAAATAATAGGATATTAGAGACATATCAAAGTACTATTTTAAAGATCAATTTAAAAATGACTGGCATTGGACCGAATGAGTGTCAAAATGACAAGGGAATGGGTCAACAATTTCTGGCAATCAAGATTGATTGATTATGTCCCACACATGGAGAAAATCATGCTTCAGAGATTCCACAATTTTATGGGGTTTTGAGCAAACTTTCTGCTGTAAAAATTCCCCAAAGTATTCCATCAGGTTATATTGGGAGAATTAGCCATCCATTCTTTTAGAGTGAAGAATTGCAGACAATTCTTTTGGAGCTACTCTTGAGTGACTTTGGCCTTGTGTGATGGTGCAGAATCTTGTTGAAAAATCCAACAAGATCCACAAGGCCAAAGTCACTCAAGAGTTGCTCCAAAAGAATTGTCTGCAATTCTTCCCTCCGGATGAATGGATGGTTAATTCTCCCGATATAAACCCAATGGACTACTCTGTTTGGGTAATTTTGCAGTAGAAAGTTTGCTCAAAACCCCATAAAATTGTGGAATCTCTGAAGCATGATTTTCTCCACGTGTGGGACATAATCAATCAATCTCGATTGTCAGAAATTGTTGACCTGTTCCCTCGTCATTTGGACGCTCTCATTCGGTCCAATGGCAGTCATTTTGAAATTGATCTTTAAAATAGTATTTTCATGTGTCTCTAATATCATATTATTTGCCTAACCAGTGACTTTTTGTTCAGTTCTAATATAATACTTTTTGAAGAGTTGGTTCCAGAACTTTTGGCACACCCTGTAGAAGCAGAATCCCTGCTGTTTTGAGCTGGCATCCTGGCAATCATGTGCTCAAATTTCTCAAATTTGCCATATACCATTTGTGCCAGCATGCTGCAAAATGCTAAATAATGCTGTGGGAATATAGTCTTGGAATGGATGTGTATGAATTCAATAATGTCTTCAAAATCCATTATAGGTCCATCTCACCTGATGAGTTGAATGATGGACAGAAGAAGCAGATTGGGCCAGTCCAGCCTGGAGAGAAACCACAGGCTTGGTCAGACAGTGGGGATGGGAAAGGAAAAGCTAAAGATGACATTGAGAGTGAGACACTGGGAAAGGAAGAGAGAGGGGGTGAGAGAAAGAAGAAAAGAGAGGAGAAGTTGGAGAAGGAATTCTGGAAGAAGATTTCCTTTCAGCCAGGTGTGATTGTGAAGATTTTGCAAGAGATTGAGTCTAATGAGTCCCTTCGCATCATCAAGGTTATTCCTCACTCCTCATGTTTTTGTTCCCTCATTTGTCAGAATAGAATTTTAGAATGTGAATGTGCATTGCAGGAGTTGATACGAAGCTGTGTGGAGCCAGAAGAGATAAACGTGCGAGTGAATAGTGATTCAATATATGTCCGATGCAAAGATTCCATCTCGTCAGCTCGCCTTGCTTCTTCTCCCAATTTCACAGCAGCTCATGTTCTCTCGGGTTTGCTACATTCATTCATGGCAGCATCAGTACTAAGCTTATTTGTGAATTTCTCATCTAGGATTACCAAATGTTTTTTGTTTTCAAAGGTGTTGAAGAAGCCCTGTATTGGCAGGCAATGAGGGATGCGTTTATTAAGGAGCACTTGGTTAGAAAGGAGGATGTGAATGAAGAAAAAATATTGGAAAAGAAAAGGAAGAAAGAGAGGAAAAAGAAGAAAATGCTCAGAAGGGGCAAGGAAGTACTGAAGAAGCAGGCAGAAGCAGCTATGAAGTCTTATAGTCATGATCATGGTCAAAAATCAGTTGTGACAGGGATGGGGTCCATTTTGGGAACCCTTGATCTGGAGACTGAACCTCTGTCTGAAAATGAGGAGGGGGAAGTGGATGATCTGGTGTGACAGTGAACCTTTACAAAAGGTGCATTTCTCCCTTTGACCATGTTGCCTTGCTGCTTGTTGTTGCTCTGTGCATGGAATAAATACCCACTGACTACAATGGAATATCAATTATGAATGTATGTTACTTTGAACTTATTCATATTTCATTCTCCACTCCAAGGGCATTGCCATCCAGTATGACCCAAAGCAGAATACCTAAACTTTGCTATGATGTAATGTAGTATGTTAGAGAAAAGACAGATTTATGGTGAGAGACAGCAGATGCTGAGATGCAAATTCAGCATGTGGGCGAGGGAATAATCTTGTCCTGCTTCTGCCAGACTCATTTCTGAAGAACATTTAAATTGCTTTGGCTGAAAACAGAGTAAGGATTGTGCAGAATCATACCCATAGAGCAAGAAGATTATAGAGCAATAACAACATCTTTAAATAAAAATACAAATGCAGATAGGCTCACTCCTTCAAGGAAACATGAGGAATTCAAGATCAGTCTATCATCCTTGAGAAGCTACTTTGACTGTTTCTTGGTTTGATCCTTGGCTTTTTTAAATATTATTTTGCTTGTTATCAGGAACTGCACAATGAAGCTTCCATGGCAAGTATGATTTTTGGGAATTTGAGAGAACTACTATGAAAGCATATATTCCTGAATATTTATATTTCTCAGTCATGAATGAAAATATTATTATTATGATCTTCAGCACAATATAGTCAATACTCTGAAACTATGAGGCATATTAGTCCTTTATTTTAAGAATTGTAATGCATTGTAACCCCCCTCCCCCCCCCCCCACGGATTCCCACACATGCACATAATTCTATAATTTGCAGAATTTCATCCTTTGCCAATCTGAGTCTGAGTCCTCCAAGTTTTCTCTGAAATGGTAGTGTACTTTCAGAGTTCTGAAAGAAAACCTATGTGGTCAAGGGTGGACCATTTCTTTTGGTGCATGCTTAGTTCACTATGCAAGAAAAACTTCCTTGGCAATTCATGTGTACAAGCTATTAATGAAGTTCATTTGCAATGAATGAACTGGCCAAGGGATGTCATAAATTAACTCAATGGACAGGGTGAGTCAAAATTCACTGGACGACTTTGAACAGCTATAACTCAGCAAGGAAGGCATTAATTTGCAGATTATTTTTTGCACACGAAAGAGCGTGCATTAATTGACGAAACAACGTGGAAGTTTGCATGAAATACCTATAATGAAAAGCAACATTTTTCTACATAAAAGTGATATTTAGAGTACAACGGACGCCCTATTTGCGATTTTTTACTGTTAATTTTTGCTGCTTCAAATGGTTTTTGATAATGCTGATGAACTTTCTTTGGAGGAACGTGTCACCATGGTTAATTTCTACTCTATCTGTGAAGGAAATCCTTCCGAAGTGAAGCGTTGTTTTGCTTTGGAGACAGGTGGATGGGCCTGATCGAGTGGCCTCCTGGGTCGCCGGACCTGGCTCCACTTCCACTCTGGCTGTGGGGTTTCATTTAACCCTTTCATGGCATATGGTCATTATAAGGATCATATCTTTTGAGACTGCTCTTGCGGTTACCATTGAACAAAACCATTGTTTTATTTGGTACTGCTTAATAGCTCTCAAAAAGGGCTCTTTGGTGACACATTATTCATTCAAATAGGTTGCAGTTCAGGCAAGCTGGATCAAAAAGAAAAGTTGTGACCTGATATTTTTTATTTTATGTGAAATGGAATTTTGACCGAAAAAGAAAGAATTTTTTTTATTAATTTTTTTGGAAAAGGGAAAAATATGCCCATATGCTGCAGGAATGAACAGATATAATTGGGACAAAGGCCAAGTTTTAGGGGCTCCCCACGTGTGAACATTGGCTTGTTATTCAATTTTTTCGGTTAATGATTCTTGTCATTAAAAAATTCTGATTTTTAATATATGAGTAAATATTTGAAGTTTTCTGCAAGTTTTTCTTTGAAGTTTTATGCAAGCTCTGTCTTTAGCTAGGCCTGTTCAATAGAAAATGTAGTGAAAAAATGCCCTAGTTATTCGTTTTCTTAATTCAGCCTCGAAAAGGTTAAGGACCAGATATATGCTGAAAATTCGAACATGATCGTTGAAATGGAGCAACGCATCACTGAAAAGATAGCTGGAGTTGCCTTTCGGTGACAGCTCGCATGATCGAGCTTGATGGTGCTCAATAACATGGCAGTAATTAGTCATTTTTATGCCAAATAAATAATGATTTTTTTAATTTGCATATTTGTTAATTATTGCATGCTCTTTCCTATGCAGAAAAACCATTTGCAAAGTAATGCATTCCTTGTCGAGTTATAGCTGTCAAAGTCGTTCAGTGACTTTTGACTCACCCTGTATTAATAAAGTCTCATAAAAGATAATGGAAAAGTGTCCTTTGTATCTGCTTTTGGAGTCTGCATTTGAGAAACAAAGGGTATATTTTGACAGAAGTGTCAAGATCCTCAGAGGAAGTGGTTGATGGGATGATGTCCATTAGGCAAGGGTACCAGTTTTTGCTATGAAATTCTCTTGATATGGGTGCATGAGTCTTGAGAAGCACAGGTTTGGTGCAAGCCATGAACCTGAAAATTGTAGATGTCATTGCCAGGAAGGTTGAAGTGGTTGTCCACAAATGGCATGAAATAGATGAACTTTCTACTTTCTGTGGGTGTGCTTGCCATTTTGGGGTTATATTGCTGTACTTCCAAGGGCTAAGCCATGGAGGGCAAATACAAAGTCTTTGAACTATCACAGACATCTTACACACATAGACAGAAACCAGCATTCTATGGGAACAGCTAACAAGGGCTAACCCCCTTCCTCACAACACATCCATAAATTTCTGCAGACATGATTTCAGCCAATGAGTTACCAATCAACTCATCTTGTTCTAGTAGTGCTTCTGGTAGCAGCAAATACTGACTCAGTTCTAAAAAGAATTAAAATACTAAAAAATACTTAGATTTCTCAAAATTTATTAATATGTGATTGTTTGCTCTCATTCTGATCCCTGCATGATTATAAGTAAGCCTAAGTTTGACGTTCTTGCTGTTAAGCCTTCTAATGCACTGTATGAACAGGTTATTTTCAAGGTCATATTTCTTCATTCACTCTTACTACTTTATTTCATCAACAATAGTTCCATCAGGGAGGATGAAATCTGGATTCTGTCTCTTAGGTTCAAAACATGGAAAGAACAAGGATCATCATCTAAATAATAGTGATTTCCTGAGTTGTTAAAGTTAAGAAAAGTGTGGCAGGTGATAGATACGTGTGACTGAAACAGAGGAAAATGGGGAATGTCCTGGGTTCCTTCAGTTCAACTTTTGCTACTTTAGTACAACCGGTAAATCCCAGAACAAGGAAGCGTACCCTACCCGATGACAGTTCTCCTTGTGCTCCTCCCAAACGGTGTGTCCATTCAATCCTTCCTTCCTTTGCAAGACCTATTTATGCCTGATTTGAACACTTTTCCTCTCCCTGTAACAACAATTTTGCCTCCAGATTAAACAATTGACTTTGCACCATTGTTGAACCTTTTTCTTCATAGTGATTTTTTAGACCATCAGTGAGAAGATTATTTCAGCAATGAAACTATTGGCAAAAGAGGTTGAAACAGTCATTCAAACCCTTTCCACCAAGGGAAAATTCTACAGGGATTCAAAAGAAGTGTAGAGATCATGAATGGTATGTTTCAAAATAAGTAAGAAGATTGGTCAGAAATGGTTGGCAACTCACCTTGGATGTCCCAGACTGGTCAAATAGCAGCCTAGGTCTGTGAGAACAAAGTTAATGATCAAGATAGTCTGTGATATAGTCATTGGTGAAAATTTAAAGTCTCAAAGAACAGGGGCAAAAAAAAACTAAGAATAAGCCTTGGATGGGTCAATCAAGTCATCCATGAGGACCTTTGGCCTGCAAACCTCAGAAAATTCAAAGTTCATGAGCTTCTTAGGTGCAACTGAGTAAAAATGGCTCATTCTCAACAGCTCTATGAGAAGTATTAGCATGGCAAGAAATACAAAAACATGTTCATGCTGGTTGAATTGTAAATCCATCTCTCAGATTACATCAAGATCCAGGCCATCCACTTCCAATAGAAGTTTGTAGAGGTCATCAAACCTTTTTACTTAGACGTAGCAGAAAATGTCTCCCCTAGATTCATAATCATTGCTGCCATGAACTGCCATGGCTATTTTTGAAGAAAAAAAAAATCCCTTGCTTGTATGGAAAAGCATCCAAGCAAGTGAAGTTCCACCAAGACCAGGCCAGCAGCCACTTCTCTAAGTCATCCATGGATTTCCATGGAAGATTGGAGAAAGAAACCAGAATTGCTACCACTACTGATATCCTTGTGAAGTCACCTGACTGTGCCCAAATAGATTTCTGCATGTTTTGAGTCCTCAAATAGCACCTTGCTTGTTGGAGGGTGCTTACCATGGCCAGTCCATGGAAAGCTTGCAATTAGGAAAGGAAGAAACTTCCTCTCTATATGATAAAACAAGCCCTTCTCTAATGGAAGTACTGGTGTCTAGTTGTGAACAAAAACCACAACAAGCTTATAAAATTTTACAATAAAAAATAAATGATATTTTGTGAATTTGAAGTGTTCAAATCAAGCATGAATGGGTCTCATATGAATGAATTTTCTTTCACTAAGAATGAGTTCTGCTCTTATAGTCAGAGGAGGCTGTCAAACCACGAATACATCTATGAAACATTGTTTATGAATGGAGTGGGATCAGATGTGATCATTGTGGCCTTGGGTCATGACTGGAACCTCCACAAGCAGTTCCTCATGCAGGTCGACTATCTCCTTGATGATGCTCTACACTTGGGGAAAAAAGATTACATACAATTTTTTATTAAAATAATGCCTTCTCTATTGTGTTTGATGAGAGCTGAAAGTGCCTTTGTTGATGAAACTACTTTGATCAGGAATTCTTATATGGAATTGTATTCATTTTTTTTCCCTTCGAGTGTAAGCTTATCAAAGATGGAAACAAATGGGAATGGGAGTGTGTTCTTGTATTGCAGAGCCCATATTTTGCAAGTATGTTCAGTGGAGCTTGGAGAGAATCAGAAGAATCAGTCATTGAGATCCCAATCACAGATCCCTTGATCACAAAGAACTGTAAGATAGTACTTTCTTTCTTTAAGCTGAGAAATATTCAAGGGTCGGTTGGTATTTTGCAATAGCTGTTATTTTTTGCAATAGCCCTGAGGCTTGTTCTGGGTTCCCTATATCGGAAGGAGGTGGAAGTGAGTCCCGCAATTGCCATGTCTGTTGTAGCAACAGCCAGAATCTTTCAGCTTGATGATCTAGTCCAGAAATGTGAAGAACTTCTCACTGACACCATTTATGCTCAGGTACTTGATGATGATATGCTATGATATGATAAGATGATATGCTAATTGTCAATAATGAAGGTGACTGTTTTAACTGATCCAGTAAAAAATGGCACATCTGCTGTAACAGTTATAGTCCTTATGACATGCTACCAATGCCATCTATATATCAATGCATTATTTTATGCCAGACAGTGCTGGATTATCATGAAGGTGCAGAAAAATATGGACTCATAGGGTTGCAACAATATTGCTACACTTGGCTTCTCAATAATCTGTGCTCTGCTGTTGAACTTCGCTCAGGCACCCAGATCCTCAGAAAAATCGAGTTTGTCATGCCCCTTTTTTTTGTCAATTTGATCATTCATCATTTTGAACTGGCATTGAAAGTCCCTATCTGGTCCTAGGCAGACTCTCCTCCTGAAAGTAATGAAGGATCCAGAACTGCGAGTTGTTTCAATGGAGATGAATTTGTATAGTATCCTTGCTGTGAAGCTCTACCTTGACCGGCATCCTTCCCTCAATGTTCTCAATTTGTCCTTCAAGGCCATCCTTGCCCGTGCCATTAAGTTTTTCTCAGCTCTCAGCAAAAAGTGTTAGTTTCATTATTTATTTATTTCATGTGGGTGTATTATGAGAATTCTTGTGAGATGATGTGATGAATTTATATAGGGAATGAGAAGTGCAAGGGATATCTAGACTCACAAAAAGGTGCTTCATATCAAGAGTTGTTCAAGAGCCTGCGACTACGGCATCTTCTCATTCACCCTCAAGACCTGAAGCGGGTAAGGAATGATCGCATCATCCCATGGCCCTGGTTATCACCACATCTTTCCCTTAATCTTCGCCTCCTGCATTGCGTGGAAAGTGGCCTAGATTGTGGGTATGTTGCTTTGTGAAAACTTTCTGCCTTTCTTGGGGAAATTCCATTCCCCATTCATGTACTTCATTGATGACTCCATTTACCATTTGTATGACTTACTGGTTGCTGCTCAGCCCAACTGATGAAGATACTGAGCGGTTCAATGAAGAGAGCATTCGATGCAGCCGTCATCTCCCAGTGTGTGATACCTATTGCTGGCGTTGGGGAGGTAACTTTGACCACTTTTCTGCAAATGTCTTCTCCAGTTCAAGAAATAGTTCACATGAAAGATAATTTTTATCACTTCAGGCTATCTGTTTGGGTTGGATCTACTAGTCCTTGTGACAAAGGAGCAAAGTATCTCCATCTCTGTAAAGGATGAGACTTCTCCCCGTGTCCGAAACTCTCTACCCAGGACCTTCCTCTACAGGTAAATTTATTCTCAAAACATACTCCTCTTTTCCCTCTCCCTCCCCTCCCCTCCACTCCAATGTTCTTCTTCACATGTGGACAGTTGAAATTTACATTATGAAATTGATTGAACTATGGCAGGGTTGTCATGTCAAACCGGGATGAGAATGGGCGAGAGATAGCCTCCAAACAGTCTGCTATTTCTCGCTGCACATTCATGGATGAAGACAGGATTGAGGTATTCCAGGGATTCCAAGGAGTCACAGGAATCAGTGAGAATTCAACACACTGGCCTGTTCTTGTATCCATCTACCTCCTCCCCACTACCTTAACTCCGCCCATCAAATCATCATAAATCTGTTTTATTTGCTTCATTCATAATGAATATATTTTGAAAAAAAAAAAAGAAAAGCTGAACCACCAGTCTTGCAGTCATTTCTACCCATTGTTGAGTTGATTAAAATGAAGTTTATGAGAATGGGAAGAAGTGAAGAAAGGTTCTCTTATGTCTTAAACTTTTCAAGATACATGAATCTTAACTCCCTCTTGACAACTTGAGTATTCCCACTTCTCTGGATGGAGTCCTTTTCATCTCAGTCATCTTGGATCTGTTCACATCTCTCCTCCAACTCATTCTGTCATGTGCAAATGGAGAGAACATGGAGTAAGTTGATGTAATATTCTGTATTTCTTATGAAGTCATTTGGGACGATATTTGCATTCTTTAAATCTCCCCACTTAAACACTTAACCCTTTAATGCCTCCTGTAAATCAGGAGCCCCACATCCTGAAACCACCACGAGCAAAACATTTCATTCCATAACTACGATTGTTTCAGTAATTAAAAACTCAGTAGTCACACTAACTGCGTCAAAGTATCCAGGTAATTAGTAATATCAAGAAGCGGTAACACCCATTTCGATATCACGTGTCGAGGTCGAGCGTTCCTGAATTTTAGGGTAGGCCTAATCCTCTTAAAGCTAAATATTTTGGGATTTTTTTTTCCCTTTTTAGTGTATCCTAGTTGCTTACTGCCTAGTCCCTAACTTCAACATAGCCCGCCACCTTTTTGCCTGTCCATAAAAGCATCCAGTTTCTTCTTTAAAATAGTCACAGAAAAGCAGGCACTACTTCGTCATCAAACGCGTTCACCACTCTGCAAGTAAAGAATTCCAGTCTCGACCTGAGCCATATCTGCGGTTTGCGCAACTTTAGTTTATTACCTCCCGTTCCCTTGCTTCCATCGAACTGGAAAAACCTACCTCATTCGACATTATTTATTCCTTAAATTATCTTAAAAGCCTGGATGAGATCGCACCTCCTTAACCTTCTCTCGAGCGAGTACAGTCCCAACACTTCTAGACGCTTCTCGTACGGAAGTCCCCTAACCTCCTTAATCATTCTTGTGGCCCTCTGTACTCCCTCGAGCGCCAACAATTCACCCTAATTTGTAGGTCTCCAAAACTGGATGCAATATTCCAACTGGGATCTTATCAGCGCCGCATACAACGGAAGAATAACGCGCGAAGTCCTGATTGCAACCCAACGACGAATGAAACCTAGAATCCCGCTGCATTTGGCCACCGCCGCTTACGCGTGCGAGGAAAACTTGGTCACCGTCGATAGAAATTCCTAAGGGCCAATTGCATGAACGATGTTTATTTTAGACATTGATTATCAATAGTCATTGTTTAAACACTGTCTACGAAAATATCGGTTAACCGCTGTCTACTTTCGATTGCGTGAACTATCGTTTTCAAAGCCGATGGTTAGACGATGGCTAAACACCCTTCATGGTATATACGAGTATAGCACGTTCTGACTCGGTTGTTGCGTAATACGCTTCGGACTCCACAAAAAAGAGGCGAATCAAGTGAAAAAGGAGAACCTTTCCATTGACGATTTAGTACATCTCGCGGAGATTGTAAAGAAGAATCCCGTGATAGAAAGAGACACGATGCACTTTCCTTGCACAGAAATAATCATGTCTGGAAACTGATGAGTTCTCCTCTGACGATATATCAGGGGTAAATGCAAGGATTTATTTTGCACACACGGAGAAGCCGGATATGTGAAAAATATAAGTATCATTTTTGTACAATTGTAAAATGAGAATATCCGGGAATCGCGTGTGGATCCTGGTCACGTAGTGACAACATCAGTAAAAATCCCTTCCTCATCGCGCACTGCTTGGACATAGATGAAAATGAAGCCTTTGCGATTGATAAAAGTCGGCTGGGCGTTTTATTCGAGTACGACAGTCGTCGATGACACCGACCACTCCTGGAAATCCGACAATATCAAATAATCTTCAAACAACTACTCCGTTTTTTCTCCTAGGAATGTAATGAGTAATGCAAATGGGCAATGGCTTGCGCCATTTCATTTCTAGGAATCGACGCCACATAAATTCGAAGGGCCAGCATAACATGCAAATCGGAAGGCTTTCATGATGCTCTCTACTTTTGAGTCATATTAATTAATTACTCAAGGGATGGGTACTTGAACAAATCACGATTCATTGCGCACAAACAGTGATTGCTCTTATCTGGCGATGTAAAGTTATGGGATCCCTTTCGCGATCTTCGTTCCTTTCGAGTTCAGCGCGAAGCAGGTGATGTCATACCCTGATCCCTTTCCAAATTGGTATTTCATGTGGAAGTTCTAATCAACATATTCTTCAAAGGGATTAAGCACAGAACCTATCTTTATTCCTCCCATACGACGACGAGAGCACATCGCTGTTATCGAGCGGATTCATAAACAGAATCTATTGTGCTTCACCAGTACACTGCAGTACTATACTCATCAAGATGGTACACGAACGCTGACATAAATATCGACAAAACATGCCCCATCCCTTGTCTGGAAACAACACCTTTTTCAGCTTCTCTTAGACATCGATTAGACAATGGTTAAAGGAAGATAGCGTTAATGCAATCCATTTTGGCCTTAGACAAAGGGATTCACCGTTAATGCAATCGGCCCTAAGGGTCGATTGCATGAACGATGTTTTCCCAGTGTTTTTTCGAAAGTCATCGGTTAACCGATGTCTAAGGCCAAAAATGGATTGCATTAACGCTATCTTTCTTTAACCATTGTCTAACCGATGTCTAAGAGAAGCTGAAAAAGGTGTTGTTTCCAGACAAGGGATGGGGCATGTTTTGCCGATATTTATGCCAGCGCTCGTGTACTTTCTCGATCGTCGACCTGCTTCGCACTGAACTCGCAAGGAACGAAAGTAGCGGAAGGGATCCCTTAACTTTGCATCAACAGTTAAGAACAATCACGGTTCGTGTACAATGAATCGTGATTTAATTGTAAGTAATGAGTAATTGATTAGAATGACTCGAAAGTAAAGAGAGTGTCAGGAAAGCCTTTCGATTTGTATGTTCTGCTAACCCTTCGATTTTATGTGACTGTAAGTAAAAAATATGAAAGATTGGATATTAATGATATTTTGACTTTTTTCAAATTTCCGTGGCGTGTGAATAAAATAAAATGTTGGAGGTCAATGTGTTAAAACAGTTCATGGGATCTATCCTGTTCACTGCATACCAGTCTTGTCCGTTTCATCCTGCAACTGATCATTTTTACGAAATATATATGTAGATTATTATGTATATCCAATGTAGCTCCTGAACAAACAACTAATTATGCAATTGCGGCAGACAGGAAATTCCAACTTGCATAGTATTTCGAGGTAACTCTTGAGTAGCCAGAAACTTCAGGTTCGATTTTTTAAAAACCCTTTCATCATTTGGGCATTAAGTAGGATAGTCTCCTAACCATAAAAACTAGGTGTTTCCAGATCAGCCAACAATTCTGAAGGTGGAAGAGAAGATGAAAGTCCTTACAAGTTTGACTAACCGTCAATTTGTTGTTTTGCTTTTTTGGCATGGTAATTTGTAATATGAAATTAAAGTCATTATTTAGATAGGTGACAGCCAGGAGATATGACATACAGGTTTGAGTTGAAGGCAGCGTCCCCACTCAGTAAGGTGGATGAAGTGATCGTTGTCCTCGTCACAGGAATCGAGAAAAGGAGCGATGCAGTGTTCCAGGGACATGAGAGGAGCCCGGATGGGAAATAGTTCGTGCCTCGAGATTTTCCTGTCGTGTGGGTTTCCATCGAGGTCACACCACTTCCAGATGGCTGCATTGATCCATTTCTTATTCAAGTCTACTTCAGCCTCCCTCTCCATGAGCTTGTAGTAATCGGAGAGCTGCTTGCGATCTGCCAGCTCTCGCATGACGTTGAACAGCCACTCCCGCATCCTATGGGGGAAGTCCTCCATTTCCTCCCCCTTGCATTTCTATCAGAATCACAACACTCGATGATTTCAGTCTCTAGCATCATTACGAATCCTCTTTTCTGGACACTTCTTAAAGGGAATCAGAAAGAAGAGGACTCGAGTGATCTTGATCTGCAAGCAAGGTTGAAGGAAGAGAAAAAATAAATAAAAAAGACTCACAGGCATCTCCTGGCAGATCCCATAGTATTCCACGTGTGCGTGGACGGTGGTTTCATCCGTGCACCTTTCTTCTTTTTCTTTACACCAGCATCTCATCTGGTACAAGTGACAGTCAGACTCCCAGGTCACATTCTTGTTGCTGCATACCTGTCCAGTGAAATATGACAACTGAGCCCATCGTGCTTTTCCAGTACTTGCTCAGGAATAGCATTTAGAACAGAAGACCTGCCTTCCGCCTGGGGTCCACTTCCTGTGGGCATTCTCGGATGCATTCACAAGATGGTGTTCTTTCTGGGCCCAGTATGCATTCTCTACCAGCTCCACAGTGAAGCTCGGAACACGGATCTGTTCAAAGTAATCAATAGCAGGGATGATTATGAAATGGTGTTTGAATAAAATATTTAAATATATATGTATATACGAGGTGTGGCTATTAAGTTTCCAGACTTTATTTTTGTATTTTTTACTT